TAAGTGCTTTACTATAATCACTAAAAAAAAAATCAGGCTTAACTCTCGTCCACAATCGAGAGCAAGATTGGGTAAGTACTTTATTTCTTGTTTTTCATATTTATTCTTTATTTATCATTATAAAAGTAACTAAAATTAAAAGTATGGATCTTTTTAAATTATTTAAGATTAGGCAAAATAAGTAATAATAATAATATAATTAAAATTGTTCACGTAGCATGCACGCGTAATGTGAGCTGCACCTTCCCCAAGTGATTTAGAACTTAAAATGGTGCGGATAGCAGTTAGACATGGTTCAAAGGACAATAAAACAATAAAATTTAATTATAAATAGATGTATAATGTTACGAACATAGAGCTACTTAGGATAAAAGAATGTAGTTTCATGTTACAATTTGAAGTCATACTAGAAAGAAAAGAATGCTAATTTAGTTTATTTCGATTTTTTGGGTGGTTACGAGGTCAGTCGAATTGACTGATCCTGTTTTGAGATTATGGTAGAGAAAATAACATATAAACTATAAGGATTCAATGAAAAAAAACAGTTTGAAATATATACTCAATATGTTCATGGACAAAACTTTATTTTATTGAAAGTACTTCACTAAGAAATATGACTTTTTTGTATGTGAAAGACGTGCAATATTAACTGAAAGACTCCCATATTTTGTGAAGATGTACCCAATATATAGAGAGTTATAAGTATTAAATTTATGTCAACTTTAAACGAGTACTGAAGGTCACGTGACTCAGTCCCAGGGACCGAGCCCGTGTCGAAAGAGTTAATTTAAATATATGCTTAGATATATGAAAAAAAAGATACTTATGAAGTAAGGAATATCACCAAGAGGAACATAACAACCTCCAAGTAAAATATTTGGTTATAGCCTTAACTGAAATTGATTTGATCTCAATAATCTGCTAAGTAATATTTCATCAGAAGCAAAACTCCACCTTTATGGCCTTTATAAAAATTAGATTTACCCGTGATACATTTGTATTCAGGCATTTTAAACTTGTAACATAATTTTTTTACATTTAATAATTAGTTCAAACTGTAAAAATAAACAAAGAGAGACTTATATTTTTCAATTTGTTTCCTATCACATTAATGTTCTATGAGATATATTCATATTTTTCACCTCTTTAATTTAAAAACAAAACAAAAAACTAAAATTGCTTCTGATTACTTCAGATTTCTTCCAATTCAACTCAGTTACATCTCTGATTTTTAGATTTGTTTTTAACCAACTTGTAATACTACATCATTCAGTAATTTTCAGTCAGATCAAAATGCAGATGGACACATTTTTTTCTGTTACAAATCTGTGATTAAATTTCTTATCAACTTCGTTAAATACTTTACTTCTTTTCAAATTTTTTTTCTGTTCCAATTCCATTAAAGTTTATGTGGTCAATTTATGTTGGGCTTTCCAAGACATCAGCAAGAACACTTTTTTGAAACATTTTTAGAAAAAATCTTCATTAGTTATATTGATTAACCTTTCTTCTTGTAATTACCTAAATTATTATTATTTTCTTAAACACTGTAAGTGACATTGCTCATTAGAAAGAACTACACAAATATAATTTAATTTTTGATGTAACATGTTATCAAATTTTCTTCCAACTGGGGATCTATTAATATTGTCGTTAACAATTCTTGATCTTCTACCAATTTTTGAATCCGAGTTTTAATTTCTGGCTGACTTCAGCTAATTTTCTGATTTCATTTAATACTTTTGTTTAATGTAGATCTGTTTCGGTTGACAACAGCGATATTAAATTAATATAACATTGCAAGTTTATTTCAGTCTGTTGGGCAACACTTCACCTTATGTTGTTCCTATTCACATTTATGATCAGCTATTTTTCCACACATTTTGTCAGAGTATTTTGAATATTTTAAGTTTAACCTCGTTATAAAATATCATGCTTTTGTGAATAACTTTTATAGTACTGAAATGTTCATTACTACAAAATTTTCCAAAGTTTGATTTTTCAAAACTTTGCAACAAGAATCGCATTTATAAACTACTCTAAAAAAATAACATATGTGTTGCTTACATCAATAAATATAACTTTCCTTCAAATGCTATAAAATATTAAACAAAACTGCAATGAACCTCACAAGTTTCACTTATCAATATTTTTGGAAAAGAAAATTCACATACACACACTATTTCATTTAGTTTGCATTTTAAACAAAATAGAAAAAAAATGTTAATTTAGGCTGAAATGTTTCATAGATGTCCATGATAAAAATGGATATCACACGAGTTATTCCCCTTCCTGCTTATCAATATCTGATGTTGGTATCCTACTCTGCAATGTTTTGACATTTGATGCAAGAAAACTAAAATGTTTACCAAGAAATTCCACACCCTCAAATATGTAGGATTTTAGTGCCAAAATCCTCTTTCTATCTCAATTTGTTCTGACCATTTTTCAGAGTCCTAGCTTGCTACCATTATAATGAAAGTGGTTGACCATCAGTGTGACTTTGACCTTTGAGCTACATTAACCAAAACTTAATTGTCTGGTCCTTGGGAAACACTTAAACTTTCATACAAATCTGATCAAAAATGGATGAAAATATTTGAGTAATACTATTCACACATGCACAAAAGTGAAAACAATACTGCAACTGTCAGGCAGGGGTAATAAACAGTCATTCTTCAAATTCAATCTAGTAAATATCTTCCTCTATTTCAATCATCCTAATAACTTTCATTATTCAATTCTTTTAAACACTCTTCAAAATACACACAAAAGAGAACAAAATTTAATTTAATGAATTAAGTATAAAGATATGTACTACATTTTCTTAAATTTTCAAACTTGGACTTTCTTTGTGAGATGCTAATGAAAGGAATCAAATCTATCACTTAAAATCAATTATGACTGACCAAATATGTTACTATAAAATCTTGTGAAAAGTGAATAACAAAGTTTGGTAATATCTTGGCACTAGCTTTTTATCTATATAGCCAAATATATTACAAAAAACAAAGATCAAACCTAATAATTTTGGCTTAAACAAATTTAGAGAAAATAGGTCATATGATTTTATGATACACAAGGTTTACAAATATTCAGAGTAAATATTTTTATATCCAAAAATTTACTTGTTAAGTGCAAGCCTGCAAAATGGGTTCTTTGTACTATATCCACTTCAGAAATCAAATTCAAAACTATCGTATAAGCCCCTCTAACTTACCACTGAGCCACCAGTAAGCTATATCTAAAGACTGTTTAGGTTGCACAGCTAATAATTGAAATTTTACAAGTTAAGTTTTGAAAAGATCAAATAACAGTATATTTATAACACTGTCAGAGACATTTCTAACTTTACTTTGGTAAGTCATTGTATTATACTTGCAAGACTAATGACAGTGGTATAGAGCATGTATATGAAGTAAAACTCCATATCTTCTGAAGAATACTCAATAGAAGATTACTCACTGCTTTACTTCGGTATCATTCCTTCCTATGAAATCTAAAAGTAAATCATTAGTTTTTGTAACAGCTAAATAACTTTATCTGTTACCTAACACTAGAATGAAGTGCACTCACATGGGTAAATTACTTTAGACTATATATTACCATCTTAGTCATTGTGCAAGAGCAATTCATAAAAGTCACAACGAGATGTCTCACGTACTGATATTAAGATATACATCTACCAGTTTTTATCGTAGGATAGAAGGCCACTAATATACTTACAAGGAACCTCCAGCAGTGGTAGGAATGTGACACTTGCTGTTATTTGACGAATGACTCCTTTGATTTCATTTTGAATTTCCTTAATGTCTTTCTGTTTTGGTTTGCTAGTGTAGGATTTCAAATAGTTTATACATTAGAAACTAAGGATGTAACACTATTAGTTTTGAATAATGAATTTCACAAACAATTGCATAAAAACATCACAGTTAAATATACTACTGGGACTTAGAAATCTCCCTCCATATCAACACAAACAACTCTTCATCAATATTTTCCTTTCTCATTATGTTATAGTCAACATTAGATAAATAAAATAACCAGACAGAAACTCTCCTTGGATTATACATCAATTTAAATCTTACATTTTGTGTCACAGAATGCACAATACATTTTATATTCCTAAAGCAAAAAAAATAAGTCATCCATTAAGTTAAACCTGTATTATTCCAACTGAAGTTTCACTTAACTACACAAGTAGGAACTTAACATAATATTTAGGGACCTATCGGTACATCTCAGCTGTCCTATCCTCTAAACTTAACTAAGACTATTAAATAAATAAATTAAAAATATTAAAGCCAGCCCTTATCATTCATAAAGTTATGAAGCTTTCTCTTAAGCTCACTTGAATTTACTACCTCCACAATATCAGAAGGAACCTATTCCACAGGCCAACCACTCTGTTCGAAAAATAAAACTGTCTTTGCTGAAGATGACTCCTACCTTGCCAAAATATGTATTTGTGTCCCCTAGTCCTAGTATTCTCTCTGTTAAGTATGAAAAAAGATGAGAAATGTTTTATTAAAATACTTTTAGAGAAATGCTTATTGAGATATCCATTGGCTCAAAAGTTTTTCATGCTTAGACCCCATTGTAAATGACACAATTTAAAAAGCATTCACTTCAACCATTTGAAAATACTTTACAAGAAAGAGATCTTAGTGTAATAATTGATCAGCCTCTTAAGCCATCGAAGATAGTGTGGATCTTAGATTGTATCTACAGAAATATTGAATACAAGTCTAAAGAGGTTATAATTTCATTGTATAGATCACTGGTTAGGCCATATTTGGAGTATTGTGTTCAGTCTTTGGCTTGTTACCTAAAGAAGGACATTGAATTGTTGGAAAGGGTTCAGAGGAGGGTTACTAGAATAGTGCCTGGGATGGAGAGGTTAAGATCTCTGAAACTGTTTTCTCTTGAAAAAAGAAGAGTTAGAGAGGATCTGAATGAGGTGTTTAAGATTGTTAATAATGTTGATGCATAGATTTCTAATCAGAAGTAATAATCTGAATTCTATGACTAACAATTTATTTTAGAATTCTTCTATCAAACAGTGTCACATTTTCTTCTGAAGACTGGGATTTATTTTTTGTCATGTTAATTTAAGTCAGATTTGACAAGTCATTTTGTGATTTTCACCTCTTAAGTGATATGTTTGATAAGCCTATCCTTCAGCTTTATTGATATCAGAGCACAGATAAAGGTAAAGAGAAAAAAATCAATCTGACAAACTACTGGGAAAAAGTTGATATCTTTAACTGCAAATATAAAATAATATATTATTGCTAATAATTTGTGTATCACTACACTGTACATTAAAAGATTGACTATTTTCAACAGAAAGAGGAATGGTTCAGCATCACTTGCACGTACTTTTTGTTTTAATACAGTGATCGGTAAACTGAAATTTTGCACTTACTAATGCCTGCAAAACATAGGGGAAAATAGAATACTTTTATTTACTTTGGTAAAATTCTCTCATTTTCCAAGATAACTTAGGTTTATGTTTTAATGATGATGAGAAACCCACTTGAAGTAAAAATGTATAACAGAGATGGCTGGTATGGGTATTAAAAACTTTAATTAAAATAAAGTACGAGAACAATGTTTCGACCTTCTTAGGTCATCTTCATCTCTATATGCAAAAATGTTTTTCACATGGCACAAGCATTTAACTTCCACATATCTTACAACTGACTGATGCAAATCATCATGCGACAACCCTCCATCAATAAGAGTGTGACACACTCTCCTGATGCATATGACTACCTCTATTCAATTCTACTGAACTATCACTTTGAGTTTTGGCAGAAAATGGAAGCACCAGATTTCTGTAGGGAGGAAGGTTGTGGGAAGTGTGAGCAAAAGTAAGTTCCTATTGGAAATATATTTTCAGTCTTGGAAAATTATAACTTCCGATACGGTACATTACCTCTTTTCACATAAATAGCTAGAATCCCACATTGAATAGGTGGAGGGAATGGTGCAAGGGAAGAAAAGAAGCATCCTTTGAAAGCATCTGAAAGACACCCTAAAAGAGTAGATCCTTGCAGTAATAGGATCATACTGGTAGGAGAGAGGATCTTACTGTCAGCAAGTCAACTACAATCCAAAACCCTGGCCACTGTGAACCAACATCCATGTGGAGGTAAGAAAGAGGATCATACCATCTTCACCTCAAGTTCATTAGGCCAGAGGGAATCTCGTACTCTCCTGATCTATGAATGGAACATGCTAGCATTGTGAGAAATTGATCAACCAATCCGGAAACTCGACTTCCAGTATCATAAAAAATGTCTTTGTAATGTCATCCATATCACTAAAAACCACACTGACAGGAACCACCCAAATCTGCAAGTACCTCCATTGTGACCCTCAACACAGATGGAGGAACAAAAGTATAATTTTGCTTTACCCATGAAATCGATGGGTGACTACAATCCGGGAAGGGCATATTAATGAAGCAAATATATCACAAGGACAAACCTACAAGCCTACTTGTTGAACACCTTATGGATTTAGTGGCCATGGAAATTATAATTGTCAAGTCATCATGGCCTTACAGTGTAGATTTTACTATTTTTAAGTCTATCTGGTCATGCACTACTTACCACAGAGTGGGATCCTGACAGTGTAAATAAAGAAATAGAAGAGGTATAGAAATAAAAGATACCTTACTCAGTCACAGTCTCATCAAAGTCTGAAGAATGGTTATAGACAGAAAACAATAACCCAAAAATACAGTGATCAGATGCAGATAGTGAGATATGAATGTATGTGCCTGAATAAAGAATTTCCTCAAGGGGATGATGGAGATGAGATGCCAGGGAAAAGGTAAGGTGCCTGATCTGATAAGAAGACACCTGGACTAAAGTACGGGAAGAAGATGATAAGGATGAATAAGCCAATCAAATTAAATGCTAAACACAACTGGTCAGGGTGGAAGGAGAAAGGTTACAAACAGAGAATGTCTAAAGGAATGAATAGGTGGAACGGACAGCAGGGAAGGAAGCCGGGCGAGTAATATAACAATGAAGAGCATGGACAGGACATAGTAGCCTATCCTGATCCGACCAAGAAAAAAGTGGGAAATGAAAGGAAGAGAAATTGGAGAGAAGGAGGAATTACCCCTTCGAGCTGCTGAAGTTTAGGGGAGAAAAGATTGATCCAGATAAATGATAATATATGTGGAATGACATAGAGTACGTGAAAGTCGATGGCAAATAAGTTTTAATGGATAAGTGAAAAAATCAAGAATGAGGAAAATGGTTCAAACAGAGGCAAAGTGAAGTAGTAAAGAATTACATTAACTTCCCAATCCAGAAGGACAGCATGCCAAGGTGGACAACTAATCTACAAGGAATGCAACAAGAGGAAGATGGGCAGGAGAGGTAAAAACCTTACGGTACTGTGAAAAGCAAAAAGTGTGGGATAAGGCAGCCTGATAACCTGCAATCCAGTAGATAGAAAACCCCTGATCAAAGAGCCAAGTGAAGATATCCGTAATACGATGAACTGTGGGTCTAGCAAGTGAAAACTCCTGACCTAAATATGAATGGAGGAAAATCTACCACTTACGTTGATAAACATCCATAGTGGTAGGGCGAATGGAACAAGCTATAAAAGAAGCTACCCTTCCAAACAAACTGGGTCTCCTCGCCAGGGACCAGATAAAAACCAGGTGTGAAGACAAAGGATATGAAGGTCTGGAAGAAATGCTGTTGAGCAAGGTTGATGTAGAAGGGATGGAGTAAGAGGAAGAGGTAACGAAGGGGCATACTGGAGTAGCCGTGGGAACAACGGTTGTGCCGGCCAGTAAGGAGCAATCAGAAAGACTTGACACAAAGTGGCATGGATGGTCGAGATCACCCTATGAAGAAGATAGATGGGAGAATAAATATACAGGTATTTGTTGGTCCAATCTTGACTGAAAGCATCAACAACTAGAGCAAGAGAATGAGAAACCAGAGACCACAACAAAATAATTTGGTATTTAGAGACGTGGCAAACATATCCAGCAGAGGAGTACCCCACTGAAGACATAGCCACCAGAAAACAAGAAGATCGAGAGGCCACTCCATCAGATAAAAACACAAAGAGAGTGAGAACAGATGCCACCTTGGTGATTGAGATAAGCCACCACTGTAGAATTGTTGGAAGATGAAGAAAATGATCCAAGGCATGACGAACGGCCAGAAGCTCCAGAATGTTGATATGATGAGATCTTTCAGTGGGAGACCACTGACCTGAAGCTTCCTGCTGATCAACCCATGAACCCCAGCCATGAAGGGAAGTGTCCGTGAAGATACATAAATCTGGATGAGTGGTAGAAAGCAGAACACCCACCAGCATGTGAGCATTGTCTAACCACTTATGCAAATCATCTACAAGAGAAGGAGGAAGGGAAATAGGAACCTCCAATGGATCCCGTGCAAGATTCTATTGGTCGTGCAGAGTCACCCTCACCTGTAGCCTGTGAGTGTGCTAGAAGAAGGTATGATATCCAAATTGGTAACTTAAACTTCGGAATTAACTGTGTACAATTGAAAATCAAGCACAAGTGTTTGATGAAAAAAAAAACTAGGAAAATCAGTTATCTAAAAAGTTGTTAGTTGTTGAAGACAAAAAATAAAAATAAAATCCATTTCAGAATAATTACTAAAAAAAAATCATGAAGTTGATTAAATTCGAAGAGATAGTTGATCTACTACCAGGACTTGAGTATTTGAGACATGATAGATTGACAACATAATGCTGTGGTCATAGGACCCTAGAATTATAGTCTACAGCCAGGAAAATACAGATCCCAGAAGCAAATGCCTCCTTGACAGGGGAAGAAAGAAACAACAGAGGAGGTATTTCAGTAGATCATTATAAGAAGCCCAGACCATACAGGCAAGACAGAAGATGACAGCAAGCCTGTGAAGCAGCCACTAATTTGAGGATGAAGACACAGAGAAACCTTGCCATTGGAGACCAGATGCCAGAAATGATTAGACATTCAGAAATGTACTCCTCTGGAACAGAGGCAGTGGAAAGATTTGGTTGTTATCAAGCACAAAGTAAGTACAAAGTGCTTTCTGTGCTACACTCACCATGAAGATGAAAGATGTGGTTATAGGATTGGTTGTCATCAAGCATAAAGTAAGTACAAAGTGCTCTCTGTGCTATACTCACCATGAATATGAAAACTTGCATGTGGAAATGGTGGGGGTCCAGAGACTGACTCTCAAGGGCTTCAAACAGATGCAAGTCTGGGTAAGATGGGGAGAGGGATGTCCAGCATCATGAGCCAACACAATTGCAAGAGGGGAATAGAAAACAGTATATCTCTGGAAATAGTTGTATTGATAGGCTAGAAACCACCAAAGGGGACACATATGTACTTGCCCAAGATGAAAGAGGGACTCAAGAGAAAAACCCCCAAAAAGACACAGGCATGAGATCTCTAGTACTAAAAGCTCTATGTCACAATGGAAAAGAAGTAGACTGAGCCTGAATGATCATCAAGTGTGTGAAATAAAGGGTGAAATTTGAGACGGAAATGGAGAGCTGAACCAGTTTCCCCAAATGAGACAACTTCCAAAGGAGAAAGTCAGTTGCAACAGAAGAAGCCATATTAGAAGGGGAAAGTAGAGGCCAAACCTCCATAGAGCAGTGGAATAAGAGGACTCAAGAAAGTAACATAAGTTGAAAGAAACTATTCATGTTAATGATGCTCATGCAACAAGTGAGCCTGATATTCAGCAAAGAATTAATTATGAAAGAGAAAACAAGAGACATAATTGTGTAATCCAAACAGTGAAGAGCTACTTGATCCATAACAAGAAGAGGGGATAAAAAAAAACAAAAGCAAGAATAGAAACAATAGTTGTGAAACACAAGATGGAGCAGGATTAGCTGAAGTAACAGCACAGCCCTTTCAAAAGAGCATATCTTAGTGACCAAATATATAATTCTGTGTGGTTAGATAAGAATGCAAGTTAAACAAAATACCAAAACTTTATATATTTTGTCAAATTTCAACTTGTTCTACAAGTACAGTTGATAATGGTAAACTGTTGAGTACTTTGTGCAATTCAAAAGTCTTGATAACTAAGAAGACAAACTTGTATATTAGTATTAGAAAAAATAAAAGTTTTTTTGTTGTTTGTTTGTTAAGCACAAAACCACACAATGGGTTATCTGTGCTGTGCCCACATCAGGTATTGAAACCAAATTTTTAGGAATATAAGCTCTCAGACTTACTGCCGATCTTTTTGTACTGAAATAGCATAAAAGTAACTTAACAACCTAATTTACAATTTTGAGATGAAAATTAACAAATTTCAAATGCTTTATGTGTACCATGTTAGAAGTTTATGTTATTTCAAGAACAAAACTGAAACACTTCATAAATAATGTACATGGATTAAAAAAAAGTGGGACGATTTAAGAAAACATGAAAACTGATTTATCACACCTATTTGTTTTTATGTCCTTATCACATTCAATCTTGAATTCCCATCTTTCTAAGGTTTCTTTGGTGTCGATATTGGAGATGACTACAACAAGACGATGCACATCTTTAGAAATCAACCACTCTAAAAAACAAAAAAAGACCGACTATATCAGTGTTTATAAAGGGAAACAAGAAATCTGTTCAAGTCCTTTAAAACATTTAAGAAAAGCAACAGGTCAACTTAGTAAATTACCTGAAATAACCTACACTACTGTACCATAGTTCCCTGGTCTAGTCTTAGATGTACATCTTATTTTCTTGTTCAACAAAAATATCATAATCTGGCAGATCAGGCTATTGTTCACGATTACTGATGAGTGATTGGATCCCCCAAATCAAATTTTACTCACAGCATGCAGCAAGTCCAAAATAGACTGAAACTTATGTTTCTTTTACATCAAAATGTATAATTGTGGTGATAAGAGTAGTACTATCTTCTAACTGTATACTGAACAACTAATTGATGACAATAATGTTTTAAATCCTTCAAATACCATTATTAATGTAGATTATGTGTGATAAATAAAGGGCATTACAATCATTACATATATAATTTATGGTGTTGAAGAAAAATAACTATAAATAAACTTTAAATCTGTACAGATTACTGAAGAAATGCAATTTTTTTCAGCATGCTGAACTGTAATGCAAAAATGTTACTAAAGTTAGAATATGTTATCAAAAGTCAGTTAAATGTATTAATGCACTTTTGTAAACTCACTTTTTTTTTCAAGAGCCTTATAATTATTTTATAAAATAATCTATACAATTATTACAGTTATTATATAATAAATATCTTGTTACTGCATTAGTCTAAAATCTTAATTTCTGAAGTCAGCATTTTAACATGACAAGTACAACTTATCTCAGCTTTTAAAGGCTCTGTAGTCTCTCAAGAATATGACAAACTATTTTTTTCAAAGTTCTTAAACAATCATAAATTTCAATAATACTTTTAGAAACTTTCACTAAACAATGTCTTCACTAGATACCTTTCATGTGGTTTTAAGATTTAATTCTGTGAAACTTTTTGATTTTGATACTGCTTTTGTTAAAGTTGAACTTTTAAGTTCTGTGTTGATTTTGTCGGTCTTCTATGTCCTAAGACAGGCAAAAATATTCCTTTAACCCTTTCTGGACCAGGCAGGTACCACTGATATCATATCCCCTATTCTTTCCTTCTAACAGTAAAAATACTTAACCAAATTGTATAAACTTTAGTAAAAAGTTCTTGAATAGTATCTAGTTTAGAAAATTCACATAATTTTATTCACAATTTCTATCATTTCTTAGGCAGTAAAAATTTCAAAAATTGTGTTGTGAACCACTTTTTTAAGAAAATATGAAAAAATAGTTCCTTTTTATCTTAGAATTCCAACTGTTTTTTTCTTGATCAGAAAAATCCCTTTTATATATCTTTATTCATATATAGTTTGTTTTCAATAAATAATAAATTACTTTATTTTAATATAATAAACTTAATAATATTGAATAAATAAAGATTTGAGTCATTGGAATATTGTGCTTTTGTTGAACATACTCATTATATCCAACTAAGCTTCTTTGGTGTCTTTTACTCTTATGGTGAAAAAAACGTTTTTAAAAATGAAAAGAACATCTAAAGGAGTCATAAAAATTTCCCAGTTTTGTGGTTTGTTCCTAAGCATCATAAGCTTTACATTAGAATCATCTGTTCATCCCTACAAGAAATCCAGATAGCCAAAATCTCACAAAAAAAAAAAAAAATAATTGCTCAAACTACTGCACACTTTCATAGATATATCAGTCTCTTCTGTCCAATAATTTTCAGCTGTTGGCTCTAGTTAATTTTCATAGCTGAGCTTCTTGAATAGTTGTTCAGATCACATTCTGTGACATAAAATGGTAGCAACAAAGGGCTGTAGTAATAAAATCACTGTTACAGAAGGAAAACCACATGAGAAACAAGATATGAATCATTATATTTTTCAGTTCAAAAAAACCTGGACAAAACTGTTTGAAATAAGTTATTGATCTCCTTTTAACTTTTCCAAGCTTGCTAAATTAGTTCCCACTTTTTCTAGAGAAGGGGACACAATAAGAAGTGAAGATTTTAATGCTAGAAGTATAAGAAATAAAATGGGGCACTGGTAGGAATGAAGGATTTTGATATAACGGGAATAACTAAAACATGGTTAAATATAGATGCTTTTGATGACAGAAATTTCTTTGAAAAAAATGTTATAGGTTATTTAATAGGGATAGAGTACTGAAGAGAGGGGGAGGGGTGGCTTTATATGTAAAATGTGAGTTACATCCTATTGAAGTTGAGGATATTGTAGATGATAGCAAGGAGATTGAATCCATTGGGGTTTCTATTGGCAGATATAAAGGGAAAAAGGCTTTTAGAGAGAATTTGTTAGAGACCACAAGATGATACTGATGAAACTAATAAGAAACTTTACAGTGAGATTAAGATTTCAGCTATTAATGAAGTCATAATTATGGGTAGTTTTAATTTCAGGCATATAGATTGGGAAATGCTAGAGTCAAGCCATGAGGGAGAAAGGTTTTTGGAAACTGATCAAAATGGTTTTCTTCACCAGTTGGTCAAGGAACCTACTGGAAACAATGCTATTTTAGATTTTTTGTTAACTTCTAATACAGAAATTGTTGAGAGATTGGAAATTGGGGAGCATCTGGGTGCAAGTGATCATTGCTCGATTAGGTTCAATGTTTTGCTGCATATGGAGATCAGGAATAATTATATTTTGGTTACAAAGTTCAATAAAGCAAATTTTGAAGAATGAAACAAGAATTATCTGTTGTGAATGGGCAGTTGAGTTATTTGGAGACACTGATCAGATGTGGAAAATTTTTAAAGATAAAATGTTAAATCTTCAAGGTAAACATATTCCTCATAGAAAGAAAAGAGTGGCTGCAAATAAAAAACCAGGGTGGTTCACAAAGGGTATAAGAGATAAAATTAAAGAAAACCATTACAAGTTTAAGAAATTTGAATTGCCTGGTATTGCCTAGAAGATTATAGAAAATCAAACAGGAAATTAGGACATCAAAAAGGATGTATGAGTAAAGGTTGGCTGAATATGTAAAAATTAACAGTAAGGATTTCTTTAAATACATTAAAGGTAAACAAAATGTTAGGATAGGGGTAGGAACCTTAAGGGATGATAAAGGAAGGCTTGTATCTGATGATTATGAGGTGTGTGGGTTATTAAATTCTTCCTTTTTACTTATTCAGTTTTTACTAATGATGATTTAAGCAGTATTTCTCATCTTGAACAGTTGATAGATGGAAACATGGTCGAACAAGATAATTGCATTAATTCTGAGCTCATTAAGAAAAAAATGAGAAGTTTAAAGAATGATAAGGCTCCTGGGCTGTATAATATTTCCCCAAGGTTTGAAGGAGGAAGGATTGGATATGTAAGCCACTTGCAACTATTTTTTTTGTAAGTCCTTGAATAGTGAGCAAATGCCAAAGGATTTGAAGTTAGTTACTGTCACTATATGAATGATAAGGGCTGGCTTTAAGATTTTTATTTATTTATTTTAAATGTATTTATTTAATAGTTTTAGTTTAGTTTAGAGTATGTGACAGCCAAGATGGACCAAGAAGTCCTTTGTTGTCCCTAAACATTATGTTATGTTCCAGTAATTACAGGCAACATATAAACTTAACATTAAAAACTCATGGTGGACTTGATATTTTATAACAAATTTATCCAGGTTTTATTTGACATATATTTTGTACTTAAATTGACTTACCAACTTTTATTAACACATTTTTTCACTTACTTTATTTATTCTTTGTTCAGCTAACTTATTACATATACATGATGTTTCTTTGATTGCCCTTCATATCTCAAGAACTGCTTTACATGTAGAGAAGTTAAAACTTGAGGATTGGTATATACATGTTTAATTCAATTAACCATTACTTGTATAAGCAATTTCTAGCTCATAACATGATTATAACAAATATATTTCTGCCATTAAATCTAAGAATTATAGGGTACATGTTATAAAACAGTGAATACGAAAACAAACATTTCAATATAAATAAAGCATTCTTACCTCTTAATTGTTTAAGTACAATGGACAAATAATGCTGCAACTTGTCATTTGTGGTCACTAGAAGGGTTAATCCATACTTCTGTAGTCGAGTAAAACTTTCCGGTGGATATATACCTCGCTGGTAGAGAATACTGTTAATTCCATAATCTGTAAATGGAAATACTTTTTTCACTGTCATTTACCAAGAGTCTAAGACTTGCTTTCAACTGAGAGAAAAACATTCATCTGGCTTATGCAATGATTTACAATTCTTAAGTTTATAACAAGTGATTTTGCCAAATGAACAGAATTTATTGTTCTATGATTTTCAAACACATTATTTAGTTGAAAAATAAATATTCTACATATATGTCAAATACTCTCACTTAATACACATATTTGTATTCTACCAAGGATCAATATAAGCATTCTCAAGGTACACTACCACAATATATTTCTTATATTACATACAAGAAGCATCTCAGGTGTACTTTAAGCTGCCACACGTCCAGCCAGGTAATAAAACATAGGCTTGAATGAAAAGCCTCCTGGACAGTGATTTGCAGCAGACAAAAGTTGGATTTCAAATGCTGTTTTTTACACGCTTTTGATTCAAAATTTTTAACAGATTAATTAAGCCTGTCAAATGTGGGTTTAAGCACAGAAAACAAAATACAGTCAAACATATATGTAGTTAAATCTATTAGTGCCATTTCACAATAAAAATAATAGAAAATGTTCCACTCACTTAAACTGTAAGAAGTGCAGAAATCATCTCTGATGGTAATTTTACTATATTCAATGAAGCTAAATGCAAAAAGGTACCATCTATGATATCTAGAGCTTGGCAATTAACTCAATGACCTATGAGTCTTGATTACATTGATTAGTGTCATGAAAGTAATCAACTAGTTGGAATACTGTTAGCATGATTTATCAGTAATATTTTTGATTATTCAATGAAGATAAATGCAAAGAAGTACAAGCTATGAGGTGTAGAGCTGGACAATTAACTCAATCACCTATGAGCATGGATTACCCCAATTATTGTCACGTAAAATAACTGATTAATCAAAGTTATGATTAATGTTATGAACATAATAAACTAATCAAAACATTGCTATTCAACATGGTGTCACATATTTAGCAACAATTCATGGTAGAGGAAAGTAAATATCAGATACAATATATATGGATACTGAAGAAATGTAGGTATGCATTTCAGAGGTTCTACAAGTCATGTAAATGAAATATGTAAACTGTAAAATGGTCAAAAGTATTTTTATTCTTCACATGAACATCAACTTGCACTCTTACTTGTCATTCTGAGTCAGAATGTTGTCATCACTTCACAGACATATCTCGAGTACAAATACTTTTGTAACACATCTGAATTTTTGGGTACAACAGATTTGTACATTTTAGGAAAAATTGGCCACATTTTCTGTAAATACACATAGTATATTTAAAATTATAATCAACATTCCTTTTCCAGTACAAAATTGATCCAATGGACTGACCTCGTGCACATTTGGTTAACCCTTATGTTCTTAGACTATGTCTATAGTTGTGTTTTAACATAATAATGATGAAAATATAATATAATTTACAAGAAAGTAATGTAGAAACAAATATTTTCTCAGTTATAATGTTTCTTGGCTAATGTGTATGTCTAATTATATTATTCAGATCCCTGTTACATAAAAGTTAAAATAAAGAAACTGGGGCATAATACCACAATATTAATAATAATAACCCGAGCGATCTTGTAAGTTGTACGTTATAGTTGTTTTCCAAGAACCAAAAAAGGTAAAAGTCCAAAAAACATTAGATCGCCTTTAAATTTCAATGTGACACAATAATTGGAAAAGTCATTTTACATTATCCGACAGTAACTGAGTAAATATTACTATTAGTATTACTGCCATTAGTCAAGTGTCATTGTTTAGGGTTAACCATATTTTGTTGGAAAGTTAAACATTTATAAATAATTATATATATATGTCAATACACAATTATTTAAGCATTAAATATTTTTAAAACCTATAAAAATATATCATGCTTACTAAAAAATTCGGAAACAATGTCCGCAGAACCTTTCAGAGTTACTGCATTAGCAGAATTAACATTAGCCATCCTTACGCAGTACTATCTTTAAATTCGCGCCACTGAATGATACACAGCGTTCATTCTTCTAATCACCCAACTCTAAGTCTGTTTTAGTAGTCAGAGTGTGTGATATATCAACTTATATAAATGAATTATGAAGTTGATGACAATTCTAATAGAGAATCAAATATGAATAAAATAAATAAAGTATATATTGACTTTAGAATATAAAACTTTTAGGTGGTAATATACCTAGAATGTTTATGAACGTATTCCTCATTTACTCTGTGTCTAATATCAACATACGAAAACAACAATAAAGGTATTTCACATCATAGATATCTCATAACAATTATGAGATATGTATATTTCACATAGTCAACAGTTTCCATTTGTTGATATAATTTAAAGCAGATATTTAAATGAATTCTACACAAATAGACTTTAATTAATTTCGGTGCGATATTAAATAAAAAGCACTTTCACTTTATAAATATTCTCCTTTCCTCTATATTTGACTTATTTTTCACTATATGACAGCGATAAAAACTCAAGTATCTTTATAACAAAATTTAATGCCCTTTTTTGGATACAAGACTTTTGGTTTTGTATTCTGATGAGAATATATTTCGGGTCTAGTTGTGCTAAAATGCGAACTTAATTATGCCTAGTGGTTAGGGCATTTGACTCAAAATTTGCGGGTCGCCGGATCGAATTCCGTCACCAAACATGCTTACCCTTTCAGTCGCGGGAGTGTTATAACGTTACACTCAATCCCACTTTTCGTTAGTAAAGAATAGCCCAAGAGTTGGAGGTGGGCGGCGTTTACTAGTTGCCTTCCATCTAGTCTGCCGTTTCAAAATTAGGATGGTTAACGGACATGGTCCTCGAGTAGCACTGCGCGAAATTCAATATAAGAAACAAACAGGTAAAGGCCACGTATCAGAACGGTTGTTATGCAAATGCTTATGCTTGAGGCTCTGTTTTTCTGTCATGTCCTCTTGTATTTATTTCAAGCAGTGATATAGAAAGTTGAAAAATATAGTATGAGGTGTGGGCCCATCTCTCTTGAATATATAATGGAAATTACTGTTCGTGTCGCCGCGTCGGACGTTTGTTTTTGTTTGTTTGAAGTTAAGCACAATAGACTATCTGTGCTCTGCCCACCACGGGTATCGAAACCCGGTTTCTAGCGTTATAAGTCCGCAGGCATACGCTGTGCCACGTGGGGGGGGGGGGGGCGTAGGACATCTGGTGGGATATCACTTTGATTTCTTTTGTTCTGACTTAACGAATGATATAATGATTTCTATTCCCGTATTCATCTCGCATTGTCTTGTTTTCTTCAGCTCTAGTAGCCAAAAAGTTTCTAAACAAGGAACATAGAAGCTGGCCAGCTTTGAAAGAACACAAGCATTTTGCATAGTAATGTGTAAGAATAAAGATTTTGTACATTAATCCATTTGTTTGTTTTTGAATTTTTTTTTCTTTGCTGTTCATGTTCAAAATTATTCTTTTTTTGACACTTCTTGATTCTGCTATCTATCGCTAATCGATATAGCTTTCTGTGAACATCAGTGTGTGAAATTTTTGGGTACAAACTGATTTCCCAACAAGTGTTATATAGTTAGACCCGCTAGTAACAGCAAATTCGCTTAATAAATAAGTAGAGCACTTTTGAATCTGATAACGTAACTGAGTTTTCCTAATGTGCAGGAAACAAAGAGTTTGTTTGTTTGTTTGTTTTTAATTATGCACAAAGCTACACAAGGGCTATCTGTGCTCTGCCCACCACGGGTATCGAAACCCGGTTTCTAGCGTTGTAAGTCCGCAGACATACCGCTGTGCCACTGGGGGGCAAAACAAAGAGACTGGACAAATTTAGTGAAAATGAGTACACTATTAATTATGAAACAAACAAAAAGAAAATTCAGCGTACAGTTGCGCCGAAAGAATCACAGTTATTTTTACTGGATTGTGTTTAGCTCCACAGTTTTCTTTTTTTCAAAATAAACTTTCGTCGAAAGAAACATGGTTGATCTTTAATTAAGACTTCATTCAAAGAACTCCAGGTAGAAATGATCTAAGAAAGCGTACCTAAACTGAACAGATAAACTCGGTTTCTTTGTCTAGTCGACAGTATCACTTTGTGACCTTTGTTCTTTCACAGCATTGGTCAGCTGTTATATTTAGACTAGCAAAGGATATTATATTGTTAATCTTTTCAACCTAGATGCAGTGTGTTACTACAGTATCTTCTCAGGTAGAATAGATATTATCTACCTTAGAGCACAAAGAAACAAAGCAGCTATAGAACAAGGCAATCTCAACGACTTTCTGGACATGTGTTTATGCTAAAATTGCATAAAAAATTAAATAAACGAAAAACTTAAAACGTTCTATATCACTAAAGCATGTAGAAAACTTAGCCCATGACTATGTATTACAAATGTACTTTAATACTACAGACGACCTTATTATATATAATTTTGGATCCTGTGACTAGGATTTATTATTGCAGAGTTTATTTTGAATGTATTTGATTTCATTTGACTCTCATATTTTCTAAAGTTTGTAAACTATGACCATCATAGAATGACACTTTGGAAAGCATGTGCAACTTATGATGGAGAGAAAAAGGCTGAAGTTAACGAAATGATACGATCTGAGAGTGCTACAAGTTGATACATAGTGATATATAAATCTATAGATGAGTTGATAAAGCTGTTAAAAATTCATAGAGCCGCATCTATAGTCTCAATCCATCATCAGGTTGAGAAGGTAATATTAATCGTGTATGCAACAGGGCAGTAAAAACAGATGATGGTGGCATTTAGCAGTTTTGAAGACCATTGTCTTACATAGATGGTGTTTATTGAACTTTTTAGTATTCATTGAGTGGCCCTGGCCTTGTCTGGCATTAGTTTGAGTCACTAATTACCAAGAAGAGTGATAAGATGTATGTGTTGGATGAAGCTTTCCACTTATAGCTGTAACTCCACCAGACGAAGCAGTCATGAGCCTTCATGGCTAGCAAGACATATTGATGATGCTCCACAATAACATCTGGTGGTAGAGATTGGTGGAACACAATGGCAATGTTTTCCCAGTTTTCATGGTGTTCTACTCCAGATTTCGCCTGAGTACATCAAACTCATCAGCATGTATGTTTCTCCAGACATTTAGAGAAGAATAAAGGCCTTCCTTGAATGTCGATAACATCTTAGCTCACAGCAATAGAGACACTAGTATGTCTCACAATGGGGATGATGTAAAACAAGTTAACACTTTAATGTTTAACTGACAAGTTCATTGAGGATATTCCAATTGATTCTACGTGGAATAACATGGGTCTCAAAGACATACAACCTCTGATAGAGGTGGTATTTGTAGAGACACAGTTCGAAATGCCCATGCAAAAAACCTATACTGGAGCAGAACAGGAAACTAACAATAATAGCAATTCAGCTGTGGAGTCTGCGTTAAAACCACTTCCAGGGCATTTTACAGCCCCATTGAAATAGATACCCTAAGATGTCATGGAGCAGCTGCTGTGGTTTAAAATGGAAAATAGGACTCCCAAGGCCTAGTTTCCATGGCTGCACAAATGCAGAAATAGTTGAGATCTCACAGATGCCAAGTATAAAAGAGAAATAGCTCGTTTTTCAACTGTGGCTTATGTGGTCACTGGACGTAGAAACGTCCATATCCTGTTGGAAGACAGTTTTATCTGGTACATGCACCACTCCAACTGATACACAAGCAGATGAAGGAAAGTTGATGGAAAGATATAGTTGTAGTAGCTTCAGCTAATTTTAAACTAATGAATTTGAGTTGGACCTAACCACCAACTCAGGATGATTTGATGACAAGGAACCAACTTTGAGAACAAATAAAGTTTAGAGACGGTTTGAATGGTCAAATTAAATTATATAATGCATTATAAAACATTTAAATTGTTATAGTATGAGAAAATTAAAGTATTTTAGTCCAGATTTATCAGTAATTAAAAAGAGTTCAGTCAGAAAAAAGTGAATATAGTAAAACAAATTACAAATACTAAAATCTGTTCACAAAAAAAAAAGAAAAAGAAATCTAGAAGCAAAAAAAAAAAATTGAAAAAAAAGAAACAAGTGTTTGGTTATAAAGCTCAAATGAAGAAATTTATTTCATTTAGCAATATATCCCTTAAAGGATGTACTGTTTTTAATCAGTGTTTTTTCAATATATTATCTCCTGGTGAGACAGCGGTAAGTCTACAAGTTTACCATAGTAAAATCTGTGGCTTGATTTCCAGTGGTGGACGTAGCAGATAGCCTAATGTGGCTTTGTTCTAAAACACACTATTAAACAGATTCAGTATATTTCAGAAACAAATTATGAACAATTTCCTTTGAATAAAAAATTACAAAGATAAAAACGAACGTGCTTTTAACGAATTGTATGATTATTTTGAAGCAAACTGTTTTTATTAATACTTACTAGAAAAAGCTAGTTTTGCATGCTGTGTTAACAACTTGTCATATTTTTAGATCCAAAAGGTGCTAAACAATGCAAATCAGAAGCTTTTCTACAAAAAAAAATTATATTTTGAAATAAAATCTACTGGCACCTCTTCCCAGTATATTCTTTATCACATTCTAGATCAAAGTCATAAGTTTGCATGTATGGTTAGCTAAAGAAATCATATGAAAACATAATATGAATTGATTGGCTATTATAATAGAAAACCTATCTAATATCAACTTTAACCACCCCCTTTTGCATCAGAAATGTACCCGAATGTTATTTGCCATCAAAATACATTATTTTTTTTAATGAAAATATTTCCTACACTAGTAAATCACCTTCAGCAGTTTGTACGGACAAGATAGTTTTTCACATCCAGCTCATAGTGTTTCTATTCATTCATTGTCCACAATATGAACATTAAGTGTTACTAAAATTATTAATTTTATTTGCATCCAAGATATGTAAATGTTATATTAGTTGTCTGTTGCCATATGGCAGTTTTTGTAATATCCTTCTCATGGTATATGCTGATTTCTGATTAAACGTTGAAGGAATTGGTTAATTGGGACACAGTTCAACATGTGTTGTAGTTTACAATTATTCAATAGTCCTTTCCTTAGTCTGTCAGCAATTGTTGGCAACCACATTTTTTGCTAATGGCAAACTTATACATATTTGACGAAACAGGTAGTAACTACCAAACTTAAACCAGAACCTGTCTAGGTTCCATTAATCCAGACAGGAAACCATTTCGGTACATTTATAGATTTCCCAATGAATTGAAATGCTTTCTATCTCAGTCAATCTTCATGGCATGTAGCTGATATACAAGACTTTCAAGTACCAATACGGAAGGAGGAAATTCAAAACCAATATAGGTTCATCTAAGAAAATTTTTGGAAACGAAATCCAGGAGCTTAGCTAGCACTACAGAGTGGAGGAGGGCCTTTTTTGAAAAAACAAAACAAAACATGTAGAACTTTTATTCTACACAAATAATTTAAGAGATATATCTTAGCCTAAATGAAATTATTCAAAACTGTGGACCTTTTAGACTTTTAGAACATTGGGATAGCCATACGATCCCATCCCCTAGCTACGCCCCAGGTGGAATTAGCCTTGCTGACGTATGGTGCATCAAGAATGGCTGAACAAGCTCTTCCTCTGATGACTGATTTCAGTACAAGGTAAGCGTGGGCGACTGACAATCATCACAGTGAAGTGGCACTTGATGAGCCTAATACAATACGGATCAGTTTGTACATAAATCCTACAATAACGAAACCCCCGCATTGGTCGAAGTCACCCGAGGCAAGAAGTGCCATTTGTAGAAGACGTCAGCTAGTTAGAGGTGTTTCACAGGCATTTGATATTGTAGATACCAACTAGTGAAGAAGGTGAGCAACACTGGCCTGTTGATTGATATAGCTGGGACTAACCACAATTACTAGAGTGTTAGAATAGTTTGTTAATCATAATATAATCTGAATTGAAAAGTTTTTGCAACCATTACTTTAAGTGCAATTCAACAGAGTTTCATTATAAAAGATAACCATAGGATATTGGATGACATCTTGTCAAGTATGACACATTTCAATACAGAAACAGTTTGTACAAATGAATATGATTACTAGAAGCTCGAGATCTCCTGCTTTCTGTGTTATCTGGTTTGTGTTTTATGGTACAGTGTATGTACTGTATTATATGATCATCACTTGATTATTAGCATTTAGGATGTTCATATCGATGGAATATCAATGTCTGAAACGAAGAAGTGTTCCTTGATTTCCAAGATACTGAGCGATTTTCTGAGGAAATGTCCTTTGAGATTTAGAGTAATCACTCACCTCATCTAGCAGAGTAGTGGGGATCTTTTGAACACGCAGCACAGTCCTCATTTGTCTCTCTTTAGTACAATTAAGAGCATATATATCATAAGTCACTCTGGGAAAGTACGACATTATAGTTTTAAGTATAAAAACGTAATGTTTTCTTAGTTTGGAACACGAAAGCTCTTGTAGATTGAACAACCTTTAGCTTTTAACTTTCCAGTAAAGCTGATTGTCTTTTTCCTAATAAATACTTAAACTGTAGTTCGCTTTCTTGTATAAAGATTGTTTTTACTGTGTTTTACATTATATTCAGTTCTACGCTTATTTCACGAACTCAATAAGACGCAAATAATTCAGGATTACGTTGAAGTAAATATCTTGGTCAAATCTCCTGTACTTATGCCATCTAGTATTCCAATCAACAAAATACCTGAAGCAGTAAAAAGAGAATTATTTTCAGATATCAATATGAGAAACAAAAAAGAAACATTCTTTGTTTGTTTTTTTTCTTTTGAAAAATAACTTATACATATGCAAGAGGTGTATATATTGAGTTAGCCTCAGTTGTTAACTATTGCGCCTGCATAATTAGTAAAAATGATTATTGCTGACTATATAAAGTGAACTTTGAAGGAAAATGCAGGGTCATCTTAAGTGTTTAATAGAGTAGCTCAGATAGTAAGCCTTGAATGTTAAATTCAGTGTATGCATGATCAATCCCTATTGTTTGTTTGATGCGGAAGATTGCAGAACATACAGGCTCAGTTTTGGGTTTTGAATCCTGCAGCTTGCAGAATACTTTTGGTTGTTTAACTATGAGGTTTATAAGATCAATCTCGGATGTTTCATAATAGAGTCTGCAATATTCTTCACTGTCCTTTTGGGTATTTAAGTTTTGAGATTGCAGAATTGGTCCTTGATTTTCAGAAATGCCGAAACCATTGTGAGATCATAGCGGACTTAATGTTTCCTATATATATATATATATATATATACACATAATAACTTTTTATCTAAATTGGTTACCTGGACACTAATTTTATGAATAGAAAGACAATAGTGAAGAAGTTCGAAGTTTTATTTGTTTGTTTATTAAATTTTGCGCAAAACAGCTCGAGGGCTATCTACGCGAGCCGTTTCTAATTTTAAAGTGTTGAGCTAAAGGGAAGACAGTTAGTGAACACCACCCACTGCCTAATCTTGGGCTATTCTTTAACAATGAATAATGAGATTGACTGTTACATTATAAAGCCCCCACAGGCGATCATATTCGGTGACGGAGTTCGATCCTACGAACCGCAGGTTAGGAGTCAAACGCCCTAACCACCAGGCCATGCCAGGCCTGGTGCTTTTAAAAATATATTTTCTATATGTTATGTAGTTTTCAAAATTCGTCTTTCCTGTTTTTACACAAGATGTTTTCTTGGTTGAAAAACAAACAAACATTTTCTTTTATACTAAAGCTTACTAGAATTAACTATTACTAGTAGTTAATAACCTCATTGGCCACGTTAATATAATTCCCTTCCCCACATTTGCAGAACTCTACATTCATTCATTCATGCTAGATGATTGATCATAAGATATGTTAGGAAATCCCCTGAATTATGTAAATGCAGTCATATCATGGTTAATCTATAAGAAAATAGATAAGAACAAGAATTTATATCACTATCCAATGATGTGAGAGTGAATGGGCGTCAATTTAGCAGGATCATCAAAGAATTTGTTTCTTATCAACTGTTCAAATACATCTGTCATCAGTGAACAGTATCAAATTGATCAAGGGAAAAGACAATGGACATACTTGTAAAGTAGAAAAGACAACGACCAGCGCAACAATTAACTAACTTCTTCGCAATTATCAAGACTTTTCTTTGGCCATTGAAGAAGCACTTATTATTATTATTTTCAATAAATGAGTAAAATCTGCATCACTAAATCTATCAAGTAAAGATATCAACGTTTGAGTTACAGGAATGAGTTGCGTAGGATATAAAAATAAAATTAAAAAAGTTGACTAATGTTTTTTTTTATATGAAGTAAAAATATTGAAAGTTAAGTTTGGATTACACGACTTTTTTATTTTTATAGATCTCAATACCTTAATGTTTTAAATATTACCAATGAAATGGTAGAGAATAAGTACTTATTGTTTCTTAGATGTGAAATAGAGGCACTGAAATTATCATTAAACTCATCCAAAAACAGAGATATAAAACATTTGAATTTTTATTTCTAAATTATGGGCTAACATGATCGGGAACTGAGTTGGAGTTTGGCTCTTTTGAAATTTTTGCATAATAAAGCATCTCTACTTTTATGTTTTATACTTTCGCGAAATAGTAAAGCAAGGTCGTTTTTAAGTACCATCGACAAATGGAACTCATTTTATCATAGAAATTGACATTCAAAAAGTTTATTTGCTTGGTTTGTTGTTAAGCTACACAATGGTCTATTGTCCTCTGCCTACCGGGAGTATCGATCTCCGATTTTTAGCGTTATAAGCCCTCAAACTTACCGCTGAATCATTGGGGAACCATTTAAAGAATTTTCATAGCTTTATTTCTCTCATAAACTCTTCAAGTAGTAGTATATTTGTGAACATGATAAAATATTTCCTTCTCGTACTATAAAAGCTATATTACGAATGAGTTACTCTGCACTAAAGAAAGTCTTTAGTTAAGCTATGTTTTGATATGGTTAAAGCATATTTCGAACATTTTCTCTTTCTTTTTTACCACAGTGATAAATAGCATGTTCTTGAAAGCTTTTTTGGCTCATTTTCTAAACATACTAAATCTAGGCTTTTAAGAAAAGCTGTAAAAATCAATGGTTTGCGAAAAAACTGATAGTCTAATTCTACGTATTGAAACATTCACAAAAGATGTGTTTTTAAGCTGTTCTTTTTGTATACCAATATATAACTTAATAATTTTTCTTATTAAGTATAAATAAAAGTGTATTTTAATTTTAAAGAAAAACGATCTAGTTTCTATAGGAACTGTCTACATACAATTTTTAGAGTGATTTATGTATTTCTTAGTTTTTGTAATTGTTATATGTTTAGTATATTTTTTACAACTGCCAAATATTAGTTCTTAATTCTTATTTTGCTGTTTCTAAACCTCTCATTCAAACATAAAATGGTGTTATACATAATGAAAGCACTTTTTTTTCAGAGCTGAACTAATAGCATGTTTTTGTTGAAGTAGCTTTATAATCAACACTGGATCATGATGAACTTTCATTTCTTGTAGATTTTATGAAAGTTAAATTGTTTTAGTTTTAACAAATGTTTTTATCACAAAGAAAGATGAACGCACTTTTAGGTTTTTAATTCAAATCTTGTGTTCAAAACATTTCATAAGAAATTAAAAAGGAGAATAGAAAAGTTTTGTCTTATTTCTTCAGCTGGAACATTTATTTTTTTTTTTGCTTTGCCTTTTACATAAAACATAAAAAATACACAAATTTTATACGTTTTGCGATCCAGTGTTGCACATAATTTTTGTAATTTAGTATTAATAGTATCCATCACTTCCATAACCCCTTCCACCATGACCGCCACTTCTTCGACTTCCACCACCATATTGTCCAATGCCATAGCCTCCTTCACCGTATCCTCCTTTTCCACCACCACCATAACCTCCTCTGACGTAGCCTCCTCCACCATAACTTCCAATGCCATAACCTCCTTTTCCACCGTTTCCACCACCGTAACTTCCGCTCCCACTACCATATCCTCCTTTTACACCACATACACCATCGTAACCTCTCCCACCACTATATCCACCCCCTTCCGTAACCTCCACTGCTGTAAACTCCTTTTCCACCGCCTCCACCACCATAACCTCCTCCATAACCATAGCCTCCACTTTCGTAATCTCCTCCACCATGACCAAGACAGATGTAACCGCCTTTTCCACTGTATCCACCACCATAACCTCCAATTCCGTAACTTCGTCTATCATGATCTCTTTTTCCTCCACCACCTCCGACACCATAGGCATTTCCTCCGTATCCACTACTGCCATAACCCCCACCTCCGTTCCTATAACTGCCTTTTCCAATTACGTCAAAACCAACGCTACTGTAGCCATGTCCTGTCTCTGAAAGCTTTAGATCGTCTTCTTTGTCATTTCCAGAAATGTCTTCTGCTCGAGTTACTGTGCAGACAGCAAGGACGATTGCCAAAAACTTTTCTATAATCTGGTAGAAGAAAAGTTTTAATTTTAAATGTATAGGTCTTTGACTAAACATAATTTAAATTATTATTTTAGTTTAATGAGCTTTACCAAGTCACTTTGGAAATTAAACGGTAGATTGTGCAAGAAAGTATGGTCTTAAACAATCACATTACTTGACAAAATGCCTATTCATTAACCTATATGCTTTTATATCTATATCTCTTTTGCTTGAAATTTTAGTACATAGTCTCTTTTTATTTGGTTTTTTGTTTTATTAGTATTCGTTTGTTTGTAGTTAAGTGCAAAGCTACACAATGGACTATCTATGTCCTGCCCACCACGGGTATTGATACCCGGTGTTTAGCGTTGTAAGTCCGCAGAAATGCCGCTGTGCCACTGGGGGGCGTTTTATTAGTGCAAAGCCACACAATGAACTACTCTCTGTTCGCGGAGGATCGAATCTCGTGTTTTAGTGTTGTAAGACCACAAACTTACCGCTAACCCACCGAAGTGCCTCTTTATATTTACCTCTCCCCACCTTCCCTATATACTGTATATTTAAATCGATAACTCAGTGACAGAACTTACGAAATAGGCAATTTTGTTTGAAAATATAGGAATGTTTTGATTTTATAACAGCTTCATACCGGATGAAAATGTATCCTTTTAAGTAATGGGAAGGTAAACAAAAGAATAAAAGCTACTATAGAATTTTATGTAAATTAATAAACGTAACCAGTTGCATGCATCTGTTGCATGTTTCGATTAATGTCAGAAGTTGACTGAAAGTTTTGAAGTGTGCACAATTGCAGTTACGAAGTAATGTTGTTTTTAGAAAATGTGTTGTGTTAATGATTATAAATTATATTTTTCGAAAAAATACTTTAACTAAATTCTGGTAACGATAATACTAAACTAACGAAACCTAGTCACTAAAATGAACTATAAACGTAATTAGCTACTGTCTTTGAAACTTACCATTCTTCTTTCGGCTCTCATCTAAGTTTCTGTTATTGTGGCTCACACTTGCACGGCTATTATTTTTAAACGATCGAACAAACAGCTGTTTGTGTTTAATCAGAAGTTTCTACCGTTTTAAACGTCTGAAGAATCTTCAAGGCTGCTGTCGAAACATCATTATATAGATGGCGATGGTGTTGTCACGTGACGAACAATGTCATTTTCAGATTGATACCAGTGCTCTTCTTGTTCACGGCGTTTTCTGCTACCACTATAAACTTAAAACAGTTTGAGACAAAACAAAAAGAAAAAAAAAATGAATCCTTGTTTGATATTGGTAATGGCTTAAAGTGCATCGAACTTGGTATAAAAGCAGACACCTTGAAGTTTTAGCATCTTAATATTATCGCGTATGGATGTGCGCTTGGTTTCCTCGTGGCAAATCAGGTGAACTCGGGACTATTGTCATACTTTACTTGCATTCATAACAGTTTGTCCCTGAAGAAGAAAGGTCCACCGTTCGAAAGCGTTCGGATTATAGGGGTTTTATTCATTTCTATCAAATATTATTGAACCTACGCGTTTTTCTAACATCATAGATGAAGGTACAGTATGAATAAAACATCATCTAAATCAAGCTGCTATGTTTAACGGTTAAGGGGATTTTAGTTTCATTTGTACATAAAATTGATATGTACATCGGCCAGGAAGGTGTTTTTTTCATCCTCAACAAAGAGTTATTTTTCACCGATCATCATGATCCTGTAGTTTCGTAAACTTACTAGTGACCCACCAGGGGGACCTTTGAGAGGGGAAAAATATATAGTTATCGTTTCGTCATTTGAAATACTTACCGAAATATCAAGAAACCTGAAAAAGTAGAGTGTTGTCTTTCTATTGCAGGATGCACAAGCCAAACTGGTTGAAATAGCAGTTAATTCTCACAGCAGGGAAAACGTAAAACGTGCACATAATTAATAATATTGACTTTGGAAACGGGATTCAAATGTGGTGTGGCTTCCAGACGGTATCAGATATTTGCGCCTTTAATTTGTTTTCGGCGTAAGGCATATTTCTGGACTTGTGTTTGAGTTAATTATATGTGTCTGAATTATGTTTTACTAGCATAAAACACCGCACTCCTCTGCGGGTCTCAAAGGCCCTTTCACGATTCACAGAGGCACCAGTGTACCGACCAAACTTTTCCATTATCCCAAATTACTTCTATAGCTACCACAAGTGGGTCCCGAATACAAACTTCGTTAGGACAATCGACTCTGGTACCTGATCATCTGTGCTACGTTTGGTCATGGTAGCTTGTAAATGGAGGTTTGAACATTGTTTCAAACATGGTGCCCCACGATCCAAAGAGGGGCCAGGAACACGAAATCCGAAGCCAAGTTCGGGTTTAGTGACCCTGAAAACCGACTCCTAGTCTCCCATCATGTTGGGTGACCTTCCAGACGCCTTTTAGCCTTCCTTGGTAATGGTACCACAAATAGTTCTATAGCTACCTCAAGGGAAGGCCATATCTAGAAAAAACAAACACACAAAAACGTTTGGGCACTCGCCCATGGTACCTGAGCACACCTACTAAGTTTGGTCCCACTATTTTGTAAGTGAAGATATAAACAAAATTTCGAACATGGCGCTCTCGGGATCCCGATTGGCTCCAGGAACACAACTTTCGATTCCAGATTTGAGTTCAGCGACCCTCTAAATCTGCTCCTAAACCCCATCATTCCTAGTGACTTTCCAGAGTCATTTATCTCCCATTGGTACCCCCTTTGTAAGGTGGCTACTCTGCATAGATTAGGACACCTCTGGGCGACCCCGAACCCACCTACCAATATTGGTCCTGCTAGATCAAAAACAAATTTACACACAACGTAAATTAACATAGGATGTATTTGCTCACTATGAAATTTATGTTGAGTTTAAGTACGTAAAGTTCTCTATGATGCATGAAAAACAACATAAACAAGAACAATGTGTACAATTTTATCAAATAGTTTGAGGAATTTGTTTAAAATGTCTAGCAAATGCAACAAAGCAAGAGGAAAGCTTTACCATATAGAACCACGACGTGGTATTATTTATTTGTGCTTGATGCTATTATATATATATATATATAAAGTAACTTGATACTCACATGTGAAGTTGAAAAACGTAACTGATTAACGATAAGTTACAATCGTAGTTAGATCACTTGAGGTTTTTATTAGCTAGTATACTTGCTGTTGTGGCAGTGTAATCAGTGTACTAACTGCTGAGGTTAATGATAGTGCTTAGCTTTCCAAGCTTTATAATACGTGTTTTGTCGTGTTTTCAGTTGATTCCCGACTCCTAGTCGGATTTGTGAGGTAAAAAAAAAACATTTTTAATTATGAACCAAGCAATAAAAGTATAATTAAAAAGGAAATATTATCACACTTATCACGCTGTACTTTTTTTCTGCTGAAAATTTGAATTAAAAGTACCAAAAGATTGCTTTAGTTCAAAATCAACAGTAATTATACGGCTAAAGAATATCTTCATAGGGATGTAATTTCACGAACCTCGATCGATAAAAATTACTGGATTATCATAGTCATTTTGATATTTCATTACAGTTTTATATCTCTAAAAAAATTGCCCAGAAAATCGTCAGTATTGCTGAATACGTGTATTTTTAATAATAGGAATGGGCTCAAAAATGCATACCTATAAATAAAACAAGCATATAATTCCTTTCTATACCTTCTTAGAAAATAAAATTAACAACGGGGTGTTGGAAACACTGAAAATTATGGAGAAACATATTTATTTAAATATCATATAAAAAGCAGCGAGAAAAGCTAGAGCGATTTCGAAAGACGGTTTCCTTTTCACTTGAAGGCTATTATTGGTAGTCAGCTAATGGCATCATATTAGCAATTACTATAGTATCAGTATTCTGCTGGAACGAGTAGTTTAGAGGAAACTCCCAATTTAGATAATCTCTCTTCCGAAACCGATGAATTATCAGCTATCTATTTTTGCTACGATTTAGCATCCTTTGTAAACATTTGTAACTTGTGTTTAAAATAAGTTAGGTAACATGAGATACGGCCTTCTGTTTTGTAAATCTGGGAAATTAAGTGCAATAGAGTACCGTTTTCTTTTTTACTGGTAGCCCCACCTTGCACAACCAACCTCTATGTATACATTTACATCTTTAAATTTCTGTGCTCTTCAACTTATTGTTGTAGACCAATTAAGAGTTTCCACAACACCCCTTTTGTGTAAAAAGTTCACCATTTTGGATTTTGAAATACTCGGGGATGTAATAAAAAATAGAGATTTCAATTACAGGCTAAAAAATTGAACACTTTTTGTTTTAAATTGAAAAGTGAGTATTTCCAAATTATATTTATCATTATTATTTCAGGATGATCCTGTTTAGTGTTAATAAAGTTCGTGAAAAACCACAGTAAACGGAACAACCTGTCAGAAGTCTGATATTAGAGAAACTAGTTTCGACACATTCGTGCGTCCTCTTCAGTCTCACGTTGTCTTTAAAAGTCTTCTAAAGACAACGTGAGACTGAAGAGGACGCACGAATGTATCAGAGCTAGTTTCTCTAATATAAGACTTCTGACAGTTTGTTCGGTTTACTGTGGGTTTCACTAATTGCTATACACGATATTGTGTTATTTTATTATTATTATTCATAAAGTTCATCCCGATGGGACAGCGGTAAGTTTACGAACACAGCAGACATCTCGCTTACTGTGGCTTTGACCTAAAACAAACAAACTTATAAGTTAATATTTTTACAAAAGCTTTAATCGTAGTAATTATAAAATGTTCCATTTATTTAAATCATCATTTAAATAGTTTTGCTATTCTTTACCCATACAAAAGTA